GTCAAGGTGGGAACATCAAGAGTCTGAGGCCAGCATGAGCCACACAGTGAGATCCTGTGTCAGAAAAAAAAAAAAAAAAAAAAAGACAAAAGACAAAAGAGTAGAAAAGAGTAAAAGAGATTCCAGAATCTTGGAAGATGGACATCTCATGGGCAGGAAGAGCATCTATAATGGCAACCTTCCACTGGTAACATTCAAGAAGAAGAGGAGGAGGAAGAGGAGGAAGAGGAGGAGGAGGAGGAGGAGGGGGAGGAGGAGAAGCAGCCAGGTGGGAGCCCATGGTTACAGTGTATCTAGAACAAACTCTGCTACTAACACTGAGTTCTTCTGAACAGAACACCTCAGTGGACTGGGGGCCTGAGTCACCCTAGGGAAGTGACCTTGAGCTGCTAGAGAGTGTGCTAGTGGCTGTTTAAAGGTGCAGGGTGTGGGGAACACTGATAAAACACCGAGAGCAAAGGCCTGTTTGAGCTTGTGACCTATCTGGGGCAGGGGTAGTGTCCATCAGGGTGTGGAAGAAATGCTGGCATTTGTGTGCATCTGCAGTCAGGAAGCAGAGAGTTGAATGCTGTGTTCCCTTCGTGTGGTGTCTTTTATGGTTTGAACATCAAGTGCATGGAATGATGTCTGTAAAAGGAGTTTTTATTCACCCCGTTCAATTGTCTGGGAGGCTTACTACCTCCTGCTAACCTAGGCTAGGCCCGGATGCTTCTAGTCTCTGTACCATCTAACCTAGGCCTAGAATGTTTTCAGCCTCTGAGCGCTTAACAAGCTCACCTTTCTTGTTACTGAGCTCTGGGCTGGCTGGTTCAACTCAGCTGTTCTGACTCAAACTCCTTTCCCAGCTGACTCATTCAATCTGATCTTTTCACTCAGCCTCTGAATTGCTATGCTTGGCATCCAACTAACTCTAGCAATGTTCTCTACACTTCTGACTCCTTCTCATTCAGTCTTCACTGGACTTCTCTCTTTGCAACTTGTCTCTCTATTACTGTCCCGGTAAAAAATGCCTCTTCTCTCTCCGAATTGCCCTTTAAGTAGCTTCCTTTTCCTCTCTCTTCTTGTGAGAGTTGGGCATATCCTATTCTGTCAAGTCTTTCTCTGAGTTGCCACCTTTTCTGCCACTCAATTAGATGTCATTTTCAAACATGTGTACTTCCTTCTTACTTCCTTCTACAAACTAAATTAACCTGTTTTTGTTTTTTTTGTTTTTTTGTTTTTTTTGTTTTTTTGTTTTGTTTTGTTTTGTTTTTTTTTTTTTTGGCTTGTGATTAAAGGCATGTACCACCATGCCTGGAACTAAGCTTTTCTTTACCTGAAACCTGCTCTATACCAGGCTGTCCTTGAACTCAGATATGCTTGCTTTTGTCTCCTGGATTAAAGGTATTTCTGTATTCCAGCTGGGTCACACAGACCTAGAAGATATTTGGATGTGATCTCTTGCCAGAGCAGCCATGTTCTGATTTTAAATTACTCTACAAATGTCACTGTCAGGGCAGTTCCTCCTCACTCAGTTAAATCTATTTGGGTTTAGCTTCACTGATGTACCCAGAATGTGTTTCTTCTTAACTTTAAAATCTGGTCAAGTTGGTGATGAAGATTAAACATCATGCAGTGTATTAAACATGGTCATGTTATACAAACCACCCAAGATGTGTCTGAGTGTGCTCGTTGATTTTGTCAACTTTACACAAATGTAGACATATCTAAGAGAGTCTCAGCTGAGAGATTACTTCAATCAGATAGGTCTGTAGGTAATAGTTGCTGACTCTGTAGGGTATTTTCTTGATTAATGATGGTTATGGGCAGGTGCTCCTGGGTGGGATAAAGAAGCAAGCTGAGGAAGCCATCGGGAGCAAGGCAGTAATGAGTATTTCTCAATAACCTCTGTAATTTCCCTGATTTGGTTTCTGGCCCTGGCTTTCTCATTGAGTTCCTGTCATGATTTCCTTTGATGATGGACTGTAAGCTGTATAGTAAAATAAAGCCTTTCCTCCCCCAAGTTGCTTTTGGCCATGGTGTTTCTTGTTTATAACAACAACAATAACCAAACTAAGACTGTGTATATAAAGATAGAAACACAGTTTTCTACCTGTGTTGGAATGTCTTCATCCACAAGTCTTTGTAATTAGATTTATATTGGTCTGATGAGTGGGGACATTTTTATGATAAACCACATGTGTCCATGTGGTTCATAGGTTTTTGGAATTGTTTGTGGTGGAAATGTGGGACACTTTGGAGCTACAGCAGCCCTAGAATGGTGCAAGCAAAGTGCTATGAAGCACTCTGACGAGAGTCTGGAAGAACAAAATGCTAATTGAAATGTGAGCCAGCCAAGCCCAGAGATTTCAGAAAGGAACAGGATTCTATTTGAATTGGGCTAGAGGCCATACCTGTGAAACCTGGAGGAAAACTGGCTGCATTCTGTCTATTTCCTGAGAACACAAGAGAAGCTAAATTTAAAAATAATGGACCACATTGCCTGGTGGAGGAAATTTCAAGTCACGGTAGTGTTCTACCTGTGCACAGTCAGTCTAGACTACTGTTATGTAGGTCTACAGTGAAAGAGGAGCAGAAAGAACTGGATAAAAGACCATGGAGTTTGGAGGGGGAAAGGAGTACAAACAAAGTTACAAACTAGCAGGTGCTGAGAAAGCAGCATCATGGGTTAATTCCATTTTAACTCTCTGTGCGTGTATGAACTTTTGCAGCAGTAGGTTTCCGTATGACTTTTCAGCAGATCTTTAGTGTTATTTACCGCCCCCCATTTTTTGCCCACCCTGCCCTCTGCTCCCCCACTCTAATTGAACCTTCCTTACCTCTACCCCTTTATATGGTGCACTCTATTTCTCCTCTGTTCAAAGGCACCTCCAACAATGCTCCTGCTGGACACCAGAGCTAACAAATAAAACCCCCAGGGCCAGGAATCAGTTTTCTCTTTTGGAGTTGTTGGCAGCTGAGGTCCTGTAAACCCCAACTAGTTCAAGATATTGCCCATGCTCTTGGTTGCACTCCATAACCTGATGATAAGACTCTATTGCTGGCTGTGCATGCCTCTGTCCGAGAACTTGGGAGGGAAAGACAGGTGGATCTCTGTGAATTTAAGGCCTGCATACATAGTGAGTTCCAGGCCAGCTAGTGCTACTTAGAGAGACCCTGTCTGAAAAAAAAAAAAAGGTGCAACAAACATGGATCACAGAACATGGAATATCAAGCTGGTACTGATCTGGAAGCTCCATCGTTACTGGATAGCTTTCATGGTGTTAGAAGGTGTTATCATGGTACTGGAGGAGAAAAGTGATCATCAGTCTCCCTTAGCTGGTGAAACCTACAATAATGACAGCCCTGGCAAGATATGCCCAACAAGTTTCTGACTGGATTTAAGTCCCAATCCTCAAGATGAAATCCATACATTGTACCATTAACAAGCCCCAAACCTGTGTATAGAGGAGCCGTGGATCTCAGTGGCAGACCTACTACCACTATTCTGCTAAATGGACATAGGATTAAACCAAGTCCTAAATTCTTATTGTCATGTGCATATATCAGTTCAGGTCTTAGCACTTGTCAGATAATTATTCAGACGGTGATTGATACAGAGACCCACAACTGGCCAAGGTGTGGAGAATAGAAACCTCCGAATGCTCAGCCCCGAATGGAACCTATAGGCCACACCTTCTCCACCAGAGGCTCAGAGATCATCGCAGAAGAGGGGCAAGGAGGAAACAGAATCTTCCTGACACTGCTGGACAGCCACACATAGTGAAAGACCAAAGAATTTTGGGTATTGGTTTAAAGTTTAAAGCACAAGCCTGAATGAAAGCTAGCCAGGTGGAGACATGTCCAGCCACCTGGGTAGAGGAACTAGCTTTACTGTATTCTTTTCCTGCTCACTAGAGACACAGTTGCGAGGAAATTGGCCCAGATGGCCAGACCAGAACTTTTTGTGGTCTTGGAACCTAAAGTAAACCAATCATTTCAAAAGTCAATTTTCCTTACCCAATCATATATGCCAAGGCATATAACTCCCTGCTTGCACTTTTTTTTCCTTTAAAAATATTTTCCTTGGGGCCGCATTACTCTCCTGCTTCTACAGAAAGTTTGCAATATGTGCTTGAGGTCTTCTCCTTTTGGCATAACTATAGCCATTTTTGCTTCAGACCCCCTAGCCGCCTCATCTCAGCTCATTACTGATGTAAAAGAATCTCTGTACAAGGTAGGGTTTACCGTAAACTATGTTTATGTTCAATGAGAAACTCTATGGCCTTGTTGTTCCTAGAAATTCCCCAACTATAGCACAGCTGGTCCCAGCTGCCAGGCACATTTTCAGGGTTAGCTAGAACTGCTTGTCTACTTAGCAAAAATAACTTGAGTCAGAGCTGACCACCCTGTTCCACCATCTATACCCCTATAATGAGCTGATAACAGGTTTTGCCTTTATAAACTGTCAGAAACAATGTCACAGTTTGGCTCCACCCTATACCTCTGACTATGATTAGTCTTGGGGTGTGAGGTTCAATAAACCATTTATATCTAAGATCAGTGTCTGAGTGGTTTGTGTGGCCTCATCTGGACCCCAACAAGGATGACACCTCAAAAGAACTGTGCCTTCCCCACATGCCCTGTCCCTTCCAGAAACTGCACTGAAGCAGAAGGAATGCTGATCTTCCCCCTCTTCCATTACTGCAAGACAGAAACTACTGTGTGAAATGGCATGAGCATGAACTCGAAAGTGGCTCCTAGCTGAGAAGGAGACATTAGCAATAGAGAAGCAACTCCAGTCAGAATAAAGTTTTTCTTTGCAGGACCAAAAGACAATGTTTATTACTAGGAAAGCATGGGGGAAATAATGGCTTTGCAAATGAGACATCTTTTAGAAAACTTCCTGGTGGGAAAGGCCAAGGTGACACCTGTTTCTTGGCCTGTGATGGCAAAGGCTATGTGAAATCATAGGCTCTCTGGGCAGCAACACCTGACTGCTGATTGTCTCCAGTTCCCCTTTACATGACTGGATGCTTCTCTCTGGGACTTGTAAGGTGACTACAGCTCATTCCTCTTTTTCTACTTTGATGTGGGTTATAGGCTCTATGGACGACACCTGCCTGCTGTTTGTCTCCAATTTCTCTGTACCTGATTGGGTGGTTGTGCTCCTTGGGACTCATATGTGGGTAGCATCCCATTGCACTCTTCATTCTAAATAGATCTTGGTCATGGGCTGATTTGGTAGCTGTGTCTGGCTCCTGCTTGTCTCCAGTTACCCTGTACATGCACGGATGGCTGTTCCCCTTTGGAGTGGGGAGTTGGTCAAAGCCCGTTCTTCTTTTTGCTCTGTACTGATGATGAACAAAGGTTTTCTGGGCATTAACTCCAGACTGATGTTTGTCTCTGAGTCCCCTGTATGTGAATGGATGTTTGTGATCTTCAGGGCTGGGGAGACCACTGCTCATTCGTTTCTCTGGCTGGCTATTCTTTGGATCACAGAGACCCATAAAAGAGTGGGATGAGCAACCCAGCTGGGATGCCAGTGGTTCTATATCAGACCATTGTATCTTTGATGGGTCCCTTACATTAATGCCCAGCCAGTTCACCAGGGTCTGTACCACAACATTCATGAGAAATTGCACTTCAACCACCATTGTGTATAAGAGCTGCTTTTTTGTTACTACCTCCTGTGTCTGCACACTAGATGGTGGGGGGCTTTCATTCTTCAGAGAATCCCCCTGCCCCTTGTCTTTTGTGCTGAGGCTTAGATATTTTAGAATATTCTTTGTGATTTCCTTTATATGGCTTTCGGGGAGCCTTCCTTTTCCTGCTTTATCAAGGGAGGACTGACTGTCAGTCATGGCTGTATGGTCTGGCTGGGTGGAGCTCGAGGTAGGGGGCCTCACTCTCTCAAGACTTTCTCCCTGGCATGTGTTTCCAGATCTCATAAAACTCTCCCTCTCTTCATCGGGAAGAAACATCTTGTCCACGTTATCTTTTGTAACTCTAAACTCCTGAGTCTCCATGCTCTGATCTCTCCTCATGAAAACATCACCTAGGCCATGGGAAGTCTTTGGGTTTGGCAACAAGTTCTGTGAAGGCAAGTTGACTGTGGCAGGGTACACCAAACTGGGGCCATCTGGATGATGTACCACAAGCCAGGCCTCTGGCTCCTTGCTTGGTCTGAAGTCAATCTCATTACCCACTTCAGGGTTTAGAGCTGAGTCCCCTAAGTGCTGTAGAGTAGGTGTTTGGAAGTGGCATGGGCTTCTGTTGGTCTCTGCAGACTCAAAGTGTCCGGAACCGATATTGATGGCTTGGCCATTAGAAATCTCAGTGGCTCCCAAACTCACTTTCTGTGCAGGATGTGTCTTGCCTTTCACTACAAATCTGCTAGTTTGTTTGGTCACTGAAGGTGGGATCCTTTCTTGAGGGACTGCCATTGTCCCACTCCAGCAGGGATGCCCTGAGGCCACATTTTTAAACCTCTTCCATGGTGCATGTTTGGCCCTTCTGGGGCTGGTAGTTGGTTGCAGCCTGCCTTTTCCAGTCCCTCGAATAGTCCTGCCCTGCTGGGTTTTTGCCTGGAAGGAGAACGCACGGGTCTGAGTACTCAGGTATCTCTGTTTTACATCTGGATGGGCCTTTGCAGTCCCGTGGCTGGCAGCAGGTAGAGGAGCTCTTTGGGTCTCTTGAACCTCTGGATGTGAATGTGCAAATGGAGGGCACTGCACCCTGGTGGCTGATATAATTTCTATGTCTTTCCCTCCTGGATCTCGGTGATGCAATTCTTCCAGGATCTTGGCAGCCTTGGAATAGTATTCAGCTTTGGATGCACAGGCCGGTGAGGAGGGGCACACAGGCTGGGGAAGGGATGAGGCTGGAACCCCCGGTGGGGTGAGACCTGTTAACTCAAGAGTCTGTGGTCTACAATGTTTCAAGGGAAGGTGAGCAATGTTTGACTCCAGCTTCATCTGAGTTTTTGGGTCTAGGAAGAAAAGGTTCTGGGCTGTGTTCACATAGGACAGCTGATTTGTCCTCAGTGAAGGGGTTCTGGGTTCCAGGTTCTTCAAAGGGGTGTTGCTTGAAGTGGAAGGCAGGTCTTTGGCTCCAATACTGAGACCCACTTTGATGGGGTCATGCATGTTACATTTTGCTGGGCCCTTCTTTAAGGGCATCCGAGAGGGCACAGACCCATGAGGGCTCAACTTGCATCTTTTGGAGTCAAGGATAGAGCATTTGGCAGGATGGGAGAGGTCAGGCCTGTTCTTGGATTGGTGAGGTCTGTGTGCTGGAAAAGCTCCCTGAAGCTTCTTTATCTCCCTGGATGGGAGGAATCTAAAGGGGGATCCTCTTTGTTGTCTCATCTTAATTGCCCTGTCTTCATTCTGTGGCTCCTCCTGGTGATGGAAGACCTGAAATTGCTCAGGAAGGATGGAGGCTGACCTGGCAGCTTCAGTGGATTGGATATTCTGGGAAAAGTTGTGAGATGGCTGGCTAATGGCTGCTTGACATTTTTGGACATTAGAACCTGTAGTTTCTTTCCAATTCAGATCCTGCTGCCAGGGCTGGCTTTCAGTTGAAAGGGATGCTTGAATCCTTGTCCTAGTGGTAGGATATTCTATTCCACAAGTACTACTTTGGGATGATGAAAGTGTTTGGTTTGGTGTAGAGCTAGGATGGTTGTCTAGTCCCTGGCGCTCTGTCACATCTAGCAAGTTTGGTGCCACAAGATGGTGGGGAAATGGATTGGCATGGGGAAACCTTGGAAGTCCGTGAGCCAGAGGTAGAGCTGGGAAAGTGCCACATGTATCATTGAACATCAAACTTTTAGGTCCAACAGAGGGATTATTCCTGGAAACCCAGGCAGTAGCCACCACTGACTCAGAGATCACAGAGGACATGCCCCAGAAAATCTGGCTAAATTTCTGCTGTATAAGATCTTCCAAGGCCCTGAGGCAAGTTAGCAGCTGAGAGAGGGGAAGCTCATCCATCTTTTCACTAGGGTTCCAAGGGAGGTGTGGCATGGAGTCCAGTAAAGGATGCTTGGTGGGGCTGCAGAAGACAGGAGGCAAAAGCATCAGCCCCAAGCAAAGGTCAAGCTACCTATCAGTCTGTGTAAGTGTGGCACCTGTATCCCACAGCCCCTCCACTGCCTCATAGCCCATACCCCTTAGTGTCTCATCTAACAGGGATGCATTCCAATCCCACCCGACACAGTGTCACTGAAAGAAGAGCCCAACACCCTGAGCTTGCTTTCTAGTGTGAATAATCCCACAAGACAAAGATTTCTTACATTTCCATAGGCTGTGATGGATTCTGAGTCTCTTTCACATTCTTTCTGCCATATCTATAACCTAGAAATAGTTATGTAGAATAAAGAAGACTGAGATCCCATAAGAGTGAGGTACTTCTCTTAAGACCACCCATGCTAGGTCTCTAATTCCCAACCACCATAGTCCAAGGACACACAACCCTGGAAGTGCGCCCGTGCAATAAAGGGAGTCATCTCTCTATTCACACTTTCCTTGTTTCTCCCCCAACCCCTGTCATTCCCGTAGATCACCGTGAGGGACACAAGACCCGTCCTCTGACAGGGATGCATCTGGGATCTACAGCTACCCGTCTCAGGTGGACCCGGGGGTCCCCCAGACACTGGTCCAGCATCTCTGCACAGCCTTGAACAAGACTCCCATGGGCAGCACCCATCCCAGGCCACCCCAGCTTCATTCTGGCACAAATCCCAGGAGTTCCCTGTTCTGATTTCCTGTGCAGCAGCCCCCTTTCCTTCTTGGTGCTTTCATCCCATAGCCTGAGAAGCATGGCTCTCATCATGACTCATCACTGAGGGGCGGGGCAGGTGGAATTGCCTCTCCATAGGAAAGCAGAAGCCTACCTTTCACAGAAGCAATTTTGTTCCTGATCTTGATCCATACCCTCTTCACCACCTGGGAGTGAGAAACAACAAAAATGATCTGGGCCCCTTCTTCCTCTCTCTGGTAGACAGGCTGCCTGCCCTCTGTGCTCATGTGTATATGAAATCCACATTTCCCAGAGAGCTTCCTCTCATCCTTGACTCATTAGTACTGTGCATAAACACATTTGCTTTTGGCCTTGTTGTAGAAACAGAAGAAGGGGATGTCTGTGCCACAGTTGCCATGATGTCCTCAGTCAGTGTTCCTCAGGCAAGGTCCTACCCAGGCTGAGCTCTGCAGCTGCCTCTGGGCTGTTGGGTGAAATCTGCTTTCTCAGACTGGAGGTGAACTGAGCCCTGATCTGAGGCCTTTTGTCTCCTCACACACTCTGCATCAGCTCACCACAAACAAAAGCATTTGCCTGAGCCAAGGACAGATGAAGCCTTTCTCAGAGCTTTTCCTGTGTCCCCACCATCTCAGAAATGCTGTCTGCTCAAGGAGCCACACTCTTCCTTAGTTGCTTCTCTGCCACCCTGTACAGATGGTCTGAAAGCTTCAGTCAGACACCTCAGGGCCATTTTCACCTCTGCCCCTGCAGAATGAGGTGCTGTTCTCTCTGGAGACTTCCTCTCTCCTGTCTCCCTACTTGACCAGCAAAAGTGAAACTAACAGTAGTGATCAACACTGCACAACCACACTCAGCACTGTGTCAACCAAGGCGTTCCTCACCTTTGGGGTGTTCCTTTTGCTCCCTGGTGGTGATTCTGGGTAGGTCTTCAGGAATGGGATCAGTAGGATGAAGAGCCCCACTCCGCACATAATGAAAAAGGTTATGTCTATTGGCACGAATATGGAGCTGAGGCTCACCCAGTGGTTTCTAATGCTTTTCAGAAGAAGGTGAAAATTCTCCATCTTCTGAACCTCAGTGCAGTTCTCAGGGCACTGAGAGATGGGAGTGCAGCATGAGACTTGTCAGGAGGGCTCAGGCCACATCACACAGCTGTGGCCTCTTCATCACAAAGGGCTCCAGGCAGGAGGCAGGTGCCACAGCCCCTCCTCACCCTTCACCCAGCACACCCTCCTGCCTCGTGGCTTTCCCTGCTTCCTCCTTCCAGATCTTGCTGCTGAAGCAGTCAAAGATAGACCTCTGTCCATGTTTTTTTCTTTCTCTCTGAGCTCTAGAACTTCTCTGCCTCCTGGAAGATGTCTGCTTCAGTCCATGAGTTTCATAGTTTTTGACAAAGTGGGTTTCTCTGTGGATCTTGAGTTGTTTCTCAGAAATTGTGGCTCTCAGGGTATCTTCTGTTTTCAGATCCACATCTGTTCATTATGAGATCACAGCTTGTCTCAGCTTTCCATGAACTTTCCATTGGTCTCATATTTACTTACCTTGTCAATTTTCAATAAGATCTAAAATAATATGATTTTATTGTCTTCTACTATAGAATGCTAAAGAAAAAATAAATTAAGTACTTTATCATAAGAATGTATGTGGCTAATTATCATAAAATCTTCACTATTTTTAGTGTTTCTTATTTGTTTATTTTCGTTACATCGTTATTTTATTTTAGTTAGCATAAAATTACATGATTCATTAAGGTCTTTTTTTTGTCCCTAATTTTTTCATCCCTATTGTGAGTAGTGCCACAGTAAGCATGGATGAGCAGTTATCTCCTTGGCAGAATGTATCAGCATGCTTTGAGTTCATGCTCAAGAATGGTACAGCTGGGACTCTGCTACTTCTGTTTTTTGTTTTTGTTTTTTAAAGAAACGTCTATCAACTTCTGCCACTATTGGGTTGCTGCAATTTACACACACAGCGGTAGTTGCTGAGGGGTCCTTTCCCCACACCTTTGCCGGGACTTATGCATTGTGTTCTGGCTCCAGTGGCTTCCTGCCCTTTCTTCGATGAGATCCTGGGGTTGGCTAAAGGGGTGTCTTGGGGGAGAGCTTATACTAGTGGGAGCCTGATAGATATACCTCTGTCAGCCCTGCTTGAATTTTCACAGTGCAGATCACCCATGCCCATCTGGCCTCACAGATGCCCCAGAAAACCTCCTCTAGCAGCTTAAGAAGTGTCTCAGCAGAGCCTTGAGAAGTGAGTGTGGATAGGTGCCTGACACTGGATCTCCGGAGGGGGGCAGTGCCCCTGCACGCCCTGTCCCAGGTCACTGTTAATGTAAAGACAGGATCTTGGGATTACCCACTTGGACCACCTCTCATTTCTATCGCATGGATACAGTTTACAACATATTCCAGTACTGAAGAACTGAAGCAGAAATTCAACATAGTTTATGTAAATTTGCATTCAGAATAATGTAAGACATGGCTATGAGAAATCTAAAAGGATATAGACTCTCAGATACCCCTGTTGTTAAGGTGACAGAACTTTGAACTTCATCTAAATGTCAGTCTGATGCACAGCATATCAAGTGTAGCAAGGTGTAGGCCTGGACATAGAAGAGACTGCAGAAAACGGACGCAATTCCTCAAGACTGTGCAGTTCCAGTTCCAGCACTTCCCCAAAGCCTTGGTGGTACAGAAAGTGTTAGGGGAAGAAACAAGAGACTGCACACATGGAAACGACAACAGAGCCCAGCACCAGACCCACATAAATGATGAAAAAATTCACATGGAAGCTATTTAAATCACAGGAGAATCCCGCACATCCCCTTACCTTAGAACAAGGAAGCCCGAGACACAGAACCACACAGGGAAGATGACCTGTGCACACCAGAGCTCTGCTGTCACCAGCCATGTGAGCCCAGAATCTGGAGGTTCCTTGTGCAGACCTCCTGTAGGCCACTAGAGGAAGGCTGGCCCTGCCACACCCCAGGACCTCAGAGCTTGGAGACAGCAAATCCCTGTTCTAAGCCATCTGGGCTGTTCCTTGTTATAACAGAGCAGGGATTGGTTCAAGCAAATGTGCTCTGCCCTTCCCACTCCCTTGACCACAAATTCCTCTCCATCCTACTGCATGAGGGGTTGCTCTAGAAGTTGAACCTTTCCCTGGCCCAGGCTGGGTTGCAGTTTCCAGCTCTACTTTATCTGGGAGCTCTGCGCTAGACTCCCAAACTCCTGGGACTAGTGAGGAGGAAGTGTGAGGTAGAGGAAGAGATGGGACTTTTTAAAAGAGGTGGTGTGATGGCTATTTTGTGGTCAAGCTGACCACATCTGGAATTAACTAAAACCTCAACATGTATAGGCACACCGGTGAGTTATTTCTGCTTAAATTATTTGAAGTGGGAAGATCCGTTTCTAATCTGTATCTTTGGTGTGAGAAGACACAGCTTTAATCCATATCTTTTGAGGTGGGAAGATCCACCTTTCATGAGTCATGTCTTCTGCTGGAAGCCTATATAAAGGACATAGAAATGAAGAGCTTAAGTTAGCTTGGGTGACTCCATTTTGAGATGAGAAGCCATCTTGTGCACACCTGTGACCAAGGGCTGAACTCAGGTACCAGGAAATATCACAAAATGTGCACTTGGCAGAAAACAAAGTTAATTCTCCTAGCGACTGCTTCCGGGAAATATCACACAATAAATACTTGGTAGAAAATAGAGATAATTCCCCTGGTAACAACCAATCAGAATCAGGTGGGAAATTTTTCCCCAATGTTCCAGATGGAGTTTAGAATAGCCATTGTAAGTTAAGCTTCAGCTAAAGGGTCACCTCACCCCTATGACTTTTACCCAATCCTATAATGCCAAGGTGTAGAAACCTCCAGCTTGTGGTTTTTCCCTTTAAAAACCCTGTTCACTCAGGACTCAAGGTCCCACTTTCCTACTGTGTGTCAGGGAGACTTGGGTTCCATGTTCAAACACGTAAACAAAAAAATTCTCACGTATTTACAGCAGAGTCGATTCCTGGTGGTCTTTGGAGATCTCATGAACTGGGCATAACATTTGGGGGCTCGTCCGGGATCCCCAAGACTTCAGGACTCTGACCCGGAGGGTTTTATGCTGGCTGATGTTTTTTTGTCTCAGTGTCTCTGTGCAGTATTTATGTTTGCATCTACTTTCTGTTCTCTGTTCTGAAAGGCCTCAAGCTGTCTTTATCTGTAGGAGAAGCCAGACGTGGCTAATGAGTGGACACACTTGAGAGTCACAGCTGTGGGGGTCAAGAGGAGACATCCCTGGCCCTGGGGTTGATGAGGAATCCCACCTGTCGCTTTTGGTGGGTGTGGAATCCAACCATCAGTTTTAGTCTCTTCGGGATGGATGTTGTGCCTGCCTCAGTAGAATCAGTTTTGGTCCTGGGAAATTAGCCCTGGGACAAGCCAGGTTTTTGGTTTCACTTTTGTCCAAGGCTGCAGCTTCAACTCTGTGTATGAATAATTGTCTGTGGTTTTGCATTTGCCTGAAGGTTCTTGGTTTCACTTTTGTCTGAGGCTGCAGCTCCATTTCTCTGTGTGTGATTTATTGTCTATGGTTTTACGTCTGCCTGAAGCTACAGCTCCCTCTCTGTGTGACTTACTGTCTATAGATATTGTCTGTTTCAATTTTTTGTATTCTTTTTGATGAAAAGACTGAGTGATGGTATGGGACAAACTACCTTCAAACCTCTTGACCCGGTTCTGACTCATTTTAAGGAAGCTAGGACTAGAGCTCACAATCTTTCAGTTGACATGAGGAAAGGAAAAATGATGACTTTTTGCAGGTTAGAATGGCCCACCTTCAATGCTGGCTGGCTGCTAGAAGGAATTTTCTATCTTCCCATTGTCCTGGTGGTGGAAGATAGGGTCTTTCAGAAAGCATGTAGACACCCAGACCAAGTGCCCTATATTATAGTTTGGAAAGATCAAGTGATTCACCCACCTCTGTGGTTTAAGCCTTTCTCACCCCCACTGACAATCCTCCTTCCACAGTCTCTCCGAAACCAGAGGCCATTGCCCTCCCAGCCCCATTACACAGGCTGAAACCACTGTCTGGCCTGGCACAAAAGACCTGGAGCTGGGCAGCCTACACCTCTGGGGAACCAGAGGCAGATTCTACGGCTCTTCTTTTATGGGCCATGGGGCCACAAGATGCTAACTTAATTGATCTTTTTGATACTGTTCTTTTTACCCACCAGCCCACTTGGGACAATTGTCAGTAGTTTAAAATGTCCCAGACACTATAGGAGTTCCAACCACAGATCAAATCCATGTTGATGGTTATTTTGTTTGTTTTTGACTGATTTTAAATGGTTAATATGCTCTGTATGTCTTAGTTACAAATTAAGAGTTATTAAATATGTTTAAAGGTTAAATTTAAACTCTTGATCTGCCAATGCTTTGGTCTCTGCCACTACTCAGGTCTCTGGTGGTAAGGTCTTCCTGGAGTCTGGTTGTTTGGTAATGCAGCCAACTCACAGAAAGTTTTCTGTGCAAGCAGGCAGCTCTTAAAGGGACAACAGCAGCTTCGCTTAGGTAAAGAAAGCTGCAAGCCTCTATGGTTATAAAAATTGGATTCAACAGGTATAAGATGTTCTTCCTTTGAAATTACAGATAGAAGAAGTAAAAATAAGCTTTATACTTTTGTCTGTCTGTTTTGAATATATTAAGTTTACTATGTTTTATATATCTTGATGACTGATTATTGGTTATTCAGTATATTAAGATTTTATATAATTTCTGTCCTGTCTTAAAAACTAGGTTTATAAAAACAATAAGGTTTGAAACTCTGCTTACATTAAATATTAAAGCTGAACCTCCATGTGTTTGTATACAAGAAATTTTCTTGCTGGCAACCAAAGTTTATAACATCAAAATAATATGCTTGGTATTGATTTTAAAGGTGCTGAATTGTTTGTATTGATAAAATTTGGTTTTGACTTTTAAAATTATGGTTGTGCTTTATGATTTCATTCCTAAAGAGGGCACTTTATTTTGATATTGCAAAAATAGGTTTTGGAAAATGTTTAAATGT